GGCGAGGCAGATCAGTCACCTGCTTTGGGATGGCCGCTCACGGTGGCTGCTGGCCGCTCACACTGGCTGCCAGCCACACACGGTAGCTTATGGCAGCCCACTGCAGTGTACGCCATCTCCGGAGACTCACAGCAGCCCAGCTCCAGGTTGAGCTGTTGTTCAGCATCTTAGCTGTGGAGGGCAGTGTCACTGGCCCTCATATGTGGGATCCCAGCCATGGCTCTCTGGAGTCCCAAGCCAGCTCTTAACCAACGCAGCACTCGGCCAGCCCAGGAATGATATTCTTACATTAGCATCAGGAGAGAAGTATGCAAGGGTAAGCCTCCCTCTCTGCCAGCTTCTGCTGAGATGTACAGTCGTTGCTGGCCTTTGGGGCTCAGTGCTCAGCCCTGCTTTGCCCACACAGAAACATGTGTGTCCCACTCTCTCTGGCAGCCAGGTCCAAAGAAATCACACTTATTATTTTTCCAACAGCCAAAGACTTTCCAGATCAGGCCCAGCCTCTGCCACTTCTCAGGGGCCTGGGAGACTCCTCTTCCATCTTCATGCATTCTCTTCTGTCTGTCTTCCTGAACTGTTTTCTTAAGAAATCACAGAGCTTTTCTCTCTCCTAAAGTCCAGTTCTTGCTCCTGGAAGCCCAATGCTCTTCTCAGAACCAGTTGGAAACACTCAACCGTTTTGCATCAGCACCATGCATCTCCTGCTTTCCCTCACCAATACCGTCCTCCCAAAGCAGAGCTCCCTGGTCATCAGCAATCCAATGCCCCTAGAGGTGACAGGACCTCCTGTGGGTGACTCCGTGTACAAGGAGGACTGGAAATCTGAGGTCTATGGCCTTAGGAACCATCACAAAAGGTCTCTATGCACAAGCTTACACAGAAGTGACAGTGCCACTGTCTTCTGGCTACAAGAAAATTTGAGACTGCTTAAGACTCTCAGAATTCCTTTTTTTTTAAATTACAGTTAACATTCAATATTGTTTTATATTAGTTTCAGGTGTACAGCATAGTGGTTAGACATTTATATAATTTATGCAGTGACCCTCCTAATTTGTCTAGTACCCACCTGGCACTATACATAGTTATTATCATATTATTGACTAAAATGCTCAAAATTCTTGCCAGACCCTAGACAAGAGGCAGACCCTTCAAAGACAAGACTGAGATAGCATTTCCTACAAGACAATTTGGCAGGGAAGAGGAGAGAGTGTTCAGGGGTGGGGTGACTCAGAGCCTACTAACTGGTTTAGAGAATTTCTTTATGAAAATTTTAAATTTTAAATACCAGATGCATTATGGAGTAAAATGTATACCTGCCACAACTGGAACATTTGGCCTAGAAGTGACCTTCATCAATGGTACTTATTAATATCTATTATTTAATGCATAGCAACTTGTAAAGCCCACGGATACAGTTTTTGTTTTTGTTGCTAAATATATATAATTTGCATTTTGCTGTACAAAACTTTCAAACTGACAAAGAATAATTCTCCTTCATTCCATTCTTTTAAAGCAAAGACATAATTTGAAACACAGCTATAATAAGAAATAATGGCTTTGGCTTATCAACAGCCAGAGGTTCTCAGATTTAGCAGTTCAGGACCCAATTTGCATTTCTGTTGGAGGAATACACTAGACACCTATTATTATATTATTAATTATTTTGTCCCCTCACCCTACCCATGCTAGTCTGGAAACTGCTCACTCTGCCATGATTACTACACATACAGCCAGTTTGAAGATGGGCCTAGCCAGAGCTGACT